TCAGCCGGGTCCCCCCCCCGCCAGGGCCCCCTCTCAGCTGTGGAGTCCTGCTGCGAGCAAACATTCTGCTCTGAGCGACCGGCTTTACAGTCGTGAGCAGGCTGGTGATTTGGCTGCTGCAGCAATGAGTTTGAGCTGGACTGGAGCCACACCCTTTCCTCTGAGCTAATAAGACCAAAAATGTGTGAGCCGTTGGCTAAGAAACGGGGAGCTGGCTCACACTCACTCGGCTGGGAGGGAACACTGGTCCCGCGGCCCTTGGCCCTTCCAGGGGTGGATGCCTGTGCTGGCCTCCCTCCGGGGACTCCGTCTGCCGCCGGTGTCCGGGTTGGAGCCCCTTCCCACCCACCGTAGTGGCCGCGGGCAGCTCCCAGGAAGAGCCCATCAGGTGGCTCTGCGGGGTGGCTGCCCAGGTGAGCGGGTCAACCGGAGGTTTCCTTTGCCCTGTTTCAGAAGGGCACCGCTGGCAAAAGCTGGGGCACCCCCACCCCCCCTCCCGCGGCAGCTTTGCCAAGGGTGCCCGCGCATGGGGGTGGGTGGGAAGCACCGTTTCTTCCCTTTATCTGAGACTTTGCCCCTTTCTTGGCCTCGCTCTTTGCACGGGCTCCAGGGAAGAGCCCTTCCCCTCAGGGACTAAGGATCCCTCCCTCCCATGGACCGTGAGCTGCTGTGACTGCCCGGGGAGAAAAGGGGCTCCGGGATGCAGACCCAGAGGCCACAGGGAAGGAGGGGCCCCACAAGCCGCCCCTCCCCTATTTCCCTGCGCCAGCTCCTCCAGGTCATTCACTCTGGGCCAGCTAGGGAAGGTCAGTTTGGGGCAGTGGGCCTTTGCTCCCCAGCGGGGACCTTGACACAGAGAGTCCTCCATCTTTCTGTGTTATACCTCTCTGAGGATGCCAGTCACAGCTGCTGGCGAAACGTCAGGTCCTACAGTGCCAAGACCACGGCCACACAGCCCGGAAAATCTACAGCAGCTAATGAACTCCGGCCCTGAAACCCTTCGACAGCATAGAGAGCAGGTTCTTTGGGCCTCCAGAGTATTATGAGTGGCCCTGTTAAAAATGGCCCCAGTTCACTCAAGGCCACTCCTGCACCTTCTTGAGGGCTTTCACAGTTCCGCAGGGCCTGTGAGACGGAGCTCTTCCACCAGGCCTTCGATTAGGAGCCGCTACTAATAATGACTGAATTGTTAAGGCCTTCTGTGTCAACAACATCGACAGCTCCAGATATTCTGGACACCGATCTTGGCCCTACTTTTGTTACCATCTGATCACGGCCTATAGGGATGTTACCCACCATCAGCGCTTTACCTGTATTTTTGTATTCCTGTATTTCTGATTTGTATTCCTGATTTGTTATGTCTCTGAGTTTTTATGATGTTGCATTGTGTCAATGCATCGGTGTTTTAATATTTTAACTTTTAATGTAAGCCGCCCTGAGCCTGCCTTGGCGGGGAGGACCGGATACAAATCGAAATAAATAAATAGATGGAGACTGCAGACGGTGCCTAGGGTGCCCCTGGGGCCCTGGGCCGTTCTCCTGGGGATGGGAGGCTTTTGTGGGGACCAGGCCCCAGAGCAGCTGCCGGGAAGGTTTCTGTAAGAAGGGCAGAAAGAGTTGGGTCTTTTTAGCCTGGGAAAAGGAAGGCAGAAAGGGGGCCTGATTTTAGTCTTCAAGTACCTGAAGGGCTGTCATGTAGAAGATGGAGCAGATCTGTTCTCTCTCACTCCGGATGGCAAGACTAGATCTAATGGGTGGCAATGTCAAGGGAGTCGATATACTGGCTAAATATCAGGAGAAACGTCCTAACTGTGAGAGTGGTTGAGCAGTGGAACAGTCTGCCTCAGGAGGTGGTGGATGCTCCTTCGCTGGACGACCATCTTTCGGGTATGTTGAAGGGCTCTCTTTCGGCGATGCTCCTGCAGAGTGCAGGGGGTTGGACTAGATGACCTGCAAGGCCCCTTCCAATGCTTAACGTTCTATGATTTTAAGTGCCCCAGCAGCCCCTGCTTTTTCCAGACCTGCCCTTCTAAACCAGGGCAAAGGAGAGAAGGACCCACATCTTCCGTTCTCCGTCGAAGGACCTTTATGGAATGTGTCTCCCCGTCCTTGTGCGGGCGTACATTGCCCTGGCCGTCCCTGGAATGAGTGCTGACTCAGGCTGCCGATGCCCTCCCAAGTCCAAAGTGTCCTCTTTCCACCTGGGTAATCTGGGTCTCGCCTGGCTTCTCTGAGGACCTGGGCTCCACGGAACGGCAAAGGTGACAGCAGCAGCAGCAGACGCCTCCTGCAGAAGCAGAGGGAAGGCAAGTTAGACTTCTCTTTGGGCCACTGGAGGCTGCAGAGGGCCACCCCAGAATCATCATCTTCCCTGAACAGGCGTTCCCGGGCGCCGGAAGCCCCCATGATTGGAGCTCCCCAAAGCTCACATTGACAAGTTTGCTGAACATGTTGTGGATGAAATTGGTAGCATTTAAGAACATAACATAAGAACAGAAGAGAAGCCAGTGTTGGATCAGGGCAATGGCCCTTCCAGTCCAACACTCTGTGTCACACAGGGGCCAGAAACTCCAGGGGCCATCACTGGGGCCAGGACACTAGAAGCCCTCCCACTGTTGCCCACCCCCCTCAAGCACCAAGAAGACAGCATCCCTTGCCCCAGACCGACCGAGAGTTCCTATCTGTACCTTGTGGCTCATAGCCACTGATGGACCTCTGCTCCATCTGCTTATCCATAAGATCATAAGAGAAGCCAATGTTTCGTCAGGCCAGTGGCCCATCCAGTCCAACACTCTGTCACACAGTGGCCAACAATACCAGGTGCCATCACCGGCTTACATTAAAAGTAAATACACGTTGATGGGGTCTGAACTGGCAGAGACTGATCAAGAGAGAGATCTTGGAGTTGTAGTGGATAACTCACTGAAAATGTCGAGACAGTGTGTGACTGCAATAAAGAAGGCCAATGCTATGCTGGGGATTATTGTAAACAGATCAGCCAATATCATAATGCCGCTATATAAATCAATGGTGCGACTTCATCTGGAATACTGTGTGCAATTCTGGTCACCACATCTTAAAAAGGATATTATAGCTTTGGAAAAAGTGCAGAAAAGAGCAACTCGAATGATAAAAGGGTTGGAACACTTTCCCTATGAGGAAAGGTTAAGGCGCTTAGGGCTCTTTAGCTTGGAGAAACGACGACCGAGGGGTGACATGATTGAGGTTTATAAGATTATGCATGGAAAAGAGCAGGTAGAGAAAGAGGTACTTTTCGCCCTTTCTCACAATACAAGAACTCGTGGGCACTTCATGAAATTGCTGAGCGGTCGGGTTAGAAGTGATAAAAGGAAGTACTTCTTCACCCAAAGAGTGATTAACACTTGGAATTCACTGCCACAGGAAGTGGTGGGTGCTACAAGCATGGACGGCTTCAAAAGGGAATTAGATAAGCATATGGAGCAGAGGTCCATCAGTGGCTATTAGCCACAAGGTATAGATAGGGACTCTGGGGCAAGTGATGCTCTGTCATCTTGGTGGGGGGGGGGGTCAACAGTGGGAGGGCTTCTAATGTCCTGGCCCCACTGGTGGACCTCCTGATGGCACTGGTATTTCTGGCCACTGTGGGATACAGAGTGTTGGACTGGATGGGCCTTTGGCCTGATCCAACATTGGCATCTCTTATGTTCTTATGTTCTTATCAGTGGGGCCAGATGACACTAGAAGCCCTCCCACTGTTGCCCCCCCCCAAGCACCAAGAAGACAGAGCATCCCTTGATAAATCCAATCTCTTCTTCTTCTTCTGTAGCTTGTGGCTTGGTGTGTTTTTTTAATGTTGTTTTCCTTTGCATAGTGAAAAGGTTTTAAGTCGCATGGAACTAGCTGCCCGTTCAGTGGGATTAAAACACAGGAACAAAGTAAACACACGCCTTGTTGCCAACTATACCATTTTGATGTTGGTTTGTGAAAGGATGGGTGCAGGAGACCCAGGGGAAATTGTTGCACATCATGCTCTAGTTCAGAAGTGCACAGCCTTGCCCCTATTTCTTCCAGTGGCTCAAGGGGGGGGGGAGGAAGTCATGCT